CAAGTTTTTCAATTTAGACTGAAGCTCAAGTACAGACCCATCTACAGACAGGGTTACAGGACTGGCTTTACAAAGTTGATGGAGGGTGCCAATAAGCATGACTTCAGTCTTGTCACAGTTTAGATGAATGGACATTTCGCATCATCCATGTTTTTATGTAGGAGATGCAATTAGATAGAATATAGACAGCCACATCAGTGTCAGGTTTGGTATGGATGTAGATTGGAGTATCGTCAGCGTAGAAATGATAGTTGAGACCATGTGATCTTAAAAGCTGACCAAGTGGAAACATGTAGATGCTGAAAAGTAAGGGGCCCAGTATTGAGCCCTGCGGAACACCAGACTTAACGAGTCCAATTTCAGACCTAAATCCGGCAAGAGAGACAAAGTGACAGCGATAAGTGAAAACCCTGCAGGCACTGGCCTTATTCCACCATACTTGGTCTCGGTATCCAATAGTTTGGAGGAGTAGAGAGGACCAGTCTTTTTCTCCTCCAGCCTCCTTGACAGCGTGTTGTTCCGGTGAACAGTGATGACGTGAGGCTCTCCTTCTGCAGAGAGGCTCCTCCCTCTGGCCAGGCTCACCGGTGCCGCCTTTCCCCCTCTCTCTGTCTCCCCCCAGGGGCTACCTGATCGCGGCGCCCTCGGTGTTCCGCGCAGATGTGGAGGAGTCTGTGAGCGTGACCATCTTCAACCCCGTGAAGGAGACCAGGGTGCAGGTTCAGCTGTGGGTGAAAGGGGAGGTGGTGGCCAGCAGCCATGGGACAGTGCTGGGTGAGTCTGGCCACGCGGCTCGGCTCCGGCTGTGTTGCGGCAGGCTGGTTCAGTGGGTTGGCACTTGGGTGGGAAAACCGCATCGTTAGCCAGTGGGGACCAGAGCTCCCTCAGGGTGGCACGGTGTTGGCAGACGAGGCGGGCACGAGGCGAGTAGGCTTTTTCTTGGACTCGGGTGCGGCAATGATTGCGATGACCTGCCAGGCGTCTCAGGGCTTGCCGATGATGTCAATGTGTCTCACATTGTCAACTGCTGCACGCCAGACCCCGTGCCACGGGGGGCGGGGCAAAAGGGGGCGTCGCCCCTTCAACTGAACTGCCCCGCCCCCTCAGTTTTGGACAGAACAATTTTGGAATGCTTACTTAACTTGTGCCCTAAAAAATAGTACTTTGTCAGTGGTCAGATAACTACGCTAACCCCGAATTCACAGTTACTACTACATCGGACAGTTTGATGTGCAGGAGGGCTATCCGTCCAGGAACGGCACCTATTCCATAGTGTCTACGTTACTGGGACATTATTATTCAACATTATTACGATCTTGTTTGATCAGGTGGACATGATCCCTAGCCAGTAGTTTATCCTTATACTTACAATCGTTCTAAAACTAGGACTGTAGTTATAGAAGTTTGTGCTCTCTGTTGGTTTTACAACTATTTTTCTTAACGATTCAGAACCTCATTGCCATCAAACTAATTGTAAGTGCTCCAGGCAATAATAGCCGCGAGGGGGCTGATGAATGTGAAAGTGTACTTCATCGCTAAATGCCAGATTGCCCGTCATTATCTTCTATCATGAAGCACTCATCAGTGGCATGGTTGTGAGATTTCACCTGGGTAGTTGCAATGGCTCCATTTCAACTGAAATATCACCGCCCCCCCCCTCAGAATTTCAGACGCCCCCTTACAGATTTTTCCCCTGGTGCCCGCCCACCCTGCGGCACGCTGTCCTGTTGGCGACTCTCGGCGTGCCACTTGAGAAACGGCCCTCGTTCTGCTCCGGTAGACAGCTGGACAGTTGCAGACCGGGAGGGAGTAACATCGGCAGTAGCGAGCCGATTCCAATTTTCCAAATTGCTGTGCTCCTCGTGAGAATTCTTGTGTGTTCGTGCGATCCAGTGCGTTCGTGTCCGCACTTAGTGAACTGTTGGCACTGGATCATGCAGAATCGGCAATGTAATGAACTAACAGGTTGGGATGCAGCTGAGCAGGGGCGAAGGCACAGAGGTGATCTTATTAAGAGCTGCCTTTGCTTCGAGGTGACAAGTCTCTGAAAGACCTTACTGAGGCCGAGCGCCCACAAGGGGTAATTGTGTTCATGGCAAGAGAGATCAAACAAGAGTTCAGTCACGGGGGAGCTATATACCAGCTCCCAGGCCCCCCAGAACCCCTGAAGGAACCCATATTGTATACATAAAACTTCTGCACCCTTTTCATGTTTTTCTCAATTCTTAAAATATACCAAACGGACTACAAGCCCTCATTTCCTGATGAATGATGTTTCTTCCTCTGTTTTTGATTTCAGACAAAGGCACAATCAAATTAAAGGTGAGTTCCTGGCTTCTAATGCCCTAGATTTTCCAGATCCAGCTGCCTGCTCCTGGCTTGTTTATCTGCTCTCCAGGTATGTGGAGATGACAGGTGGAATGTGTCCGTTTGCCTGGCTGAGTCTCCCCTGCGCTGAAGGAGACCAGAGCGAGCTGGCGAACTCCAGCTCCCTCTAGTTTCTCTGAGTGTTTCTGTGAGTGTGTGTGTGTGCTTCCACCCCCGAGCCTCACCCTCCCGAAGTCATTTCTGACAGAGCCAGAACTGAAAAGCTAAGGGTGTTGTTGCACAGCGGTCTCATCCATTCCAGGTTATACCTGCTGCCTGCTTCTAGGCTTCTCCTCAAAGCCAAAAGAGGCAGATTACCTGAATGGTCCCTCTCATTGGAAAACTTTCCTACTGTATGTTATGTTTCAGAACAGGTGCTGGATTGTGCAGAAACTGTTTTAGTCCATGTCAAAGCAGCCTTGAATGTTTGCATGACTTTGTGAGTTTGTTGCAGCGGGAATGAGTTTGTCAATTGTCAATTGGAATGAGTTTGTCAATTTCTCTGTTTTGACTTGCGTTAGACTGTTTCGTTTTCGGTATGATTGTGCTCTGACCTGTGCTGTGTGGTGGATCTGGGGGTGGCGATATTGGCCGTTTCTCCAGCGTCCTCTTGCTCTGTGTGTGACCCAGGTCCAAGTCCCACGAAGGGCTGCACGCTGGACCTTGGCTAGCTCCTCTCTCGGAGCTCATGGCCTCGGCTTCTCCAGAATCAACTCTTGACTTCACACAAAGTGCAGGCAGCAATTTCCACAATAGTGTTCATTGTGTCCACCCATTTTCTGTCCACTGTGTCCAGCACAGGGCTGGTGGGTGCCAGAGCCCATCCTGGCAAGCCATGGGCGCTCGGTAGGATACACCGTGGTCGGGACGCCAGTCCATCGCAGGCCACGCACTGACACAAACACACACGCACTCACACCAGAGTCAGTTTTCCCAGAAGCCAATTAGCCGCCCAGCATGTCTTTGGACGGTGGGGGGAATCCAGAGCACCTGGGGGAAACCCACACAAACGTGGAGAGAACATGCAAACTCCACCCAGACCGTGCCGCTCCTTTTGGTGTCTTATGCCATTTAAATCCCTGTGTCGTGTGTGAGTGTGTGTGGTGTCTTGAAGTCAGTGTGGGGGCTGTCGGTGGAAGCCGTGGCGCCGTTCTCTCTGATTGCGTTCCCGTGTGGTGCCGTTACCCAGGTACCTCCTGGCCTGCGCGGACAGGCTCATCTCAAGGTGTGGGGCAACCGCCACCTGACAGAGGAGGGCTACATCTTCCACAACTACACCACCGTGACCGTGGACAGCAAGGGCGCGGCAGTCTTCATCCAGACCGACAAGCCCGTGTACAAGCCCCGGCAGAAAGGTCTGTGCCTCTCTCTCTCTCTCTCTCTCTCTCTCTCTCTCTCTCTCTC